CCTGCCAATCTTCATTCCACCAATTGCTCCACAATCACCCTCACCCATCATATGGGGCTGGTACAATAGGCCAGAGGTGGCCGCAGTACAAGGGACTTAATAAAGTCCCATCCCACTAGCAATATTTATTATTATTATTATTATTGGAGGGGGTGGGTTTCCCCATGCACCGCGACTAATAGTCTATTGTACGTAACCCTTTGATATTCTACCAGTCTCCATACCCTGCCGGTACTGGTGCTCACTATCAGCCCCATTCAGCCAGCGAGGCTGGCTGTGGTACCCGATGCTTCCCCATGTACCGGAGGCATTGGAAACTACTTGAGCGGGAAACTTTTTACCTAATTTTGCTCAGAGGTCTCCTAGAGACATGAGGATCTTTTGTGTGCTGTACCACTAACATTACAGACAAGTGTTGTAGTACTGCGTGAGATATGGTAACAAGATAAGAATGCTGAGGTGGGACACTTCTCTGATAAGCAAACCTACAAAAGCCTCAATCACAATACACTGTTCCTGGCCGTGATTTTAACAGGTGACCTGCTGATTTCAAGTTACACATATCATTGCTCAGCCAACCTGCATAGCCTCAAATCATAAGAAATAAAACACTGCTGACACTATATCTTATCCTAATCCACATATTCATGAAGGCATACATCACAGACTGTTTTATGGACAATAATTTATGTACAAATGTGTCCATTGAACTTTCATCAAATATACAGTTCTGGTGGTTTTGACCAATTTTGTGCATAACTTCCACCTCAAGGCAGTGTTATAAGGCCACAACATGTTGTGAAACTGACTATATCTTACTGAAATAAGTCTGTATTATTAGTTAAATCTGAAAAGTTTCCCAATTCTGTTACTAATATGACATATCTAGGTTATGCAACAATTCTGTATCAACTTATAAGACATGACCCTGCCTTCCCACATTTGCACCTAACCTGAACTGTGGCAGCAGAACCTGAAGATTCAACAGTTACCAGAACCCACCAGTGGATGTGATTCTGAGTCATCTTCATAACTCCCTAAGGTTCATCTTAATGTGGTCTTCCCATATTTCAATTACAAATATTTTTTTTAGAGTAGGATAAAATAGTCCCCACCAAGAGAATACTGTTTCATATACTACTTTTATTTTTTATTTATTTGTAGGTTATTTAACAATACTGTGGCTAACTCAGACTATATAGGGCTACATGAATGAATGACAATGAATAATGAATTGGAAAGCACATGGAAGGAAATGGTTGCAGCCTAATTAAAGGAACTGTCCTGCTACTTGCCTGGAGAGGCTGAAGAAAATCATAAAACCCTTAGTCAGGACAGTCAGTGTTCTGGCCAGGATTCAAATTGGTCACTTCCAAAATACAAATTGGAAGTGTTACAACTTTAGCTCACTTGTTCAGTGCATTTTACATATTATACAACGGCCCTACTATACAAGACAGACTGAAAAATCGCACATTCAGATATATATTCGGCACAGTGTTATATCTACAATCCCTATCATTTTAGAATATAGGGTTATGTACAAGTCTGAAGTCACTGAAGCTTCACAACAGGATCTAATGTACATAGTAGGAGGGGTAAACTTGGACAACAAAAAGGAACCGAACATCCATGTGTGTTGCCTCTAATTTGGAAATAACATGACACCTACACCAAAAATTACAATCAGACAACTAAGCTGTTAGCAGCAAAACTGCTGACCAGATACAGCACCCAGTTGTAAGTTTATGTCAGGAAATGTCAAGAAACAAACTGCCTCAGGATTTTACAGAAGGGCTCTTCACCTTTACATGTGCATAGGCTGTTACTCCAAGCACAGTGAGTATGATCCCAACACCCTGGTTCATATGGAATGGCTCTTGAAACAGGAGAACACCACCAAGCACGGTAAGACAAAACTTCATGTGTCCCACCATGTTGTACCTTGTTGCAAAGTCAAGGATTCAAATGTCTGTGCACTTCTACAAAACAGCACATTTCACAAAATATAAACATATGCTAAGAATAAATACTGTAATTCCTCTGACACCAGGGGCATGCAGTAGCATAGTTGTTTGAGGCACTATGCTACAAGCCCGAAGGTCACAGGTTCACTTCATGAGGTAGATTTTTCAATTGACCTAACCCTTCCAGCTGCACTGTGGCCCTGGAGTTAACTCAGCCTCTAACAGATATGAGTGCCAGGAATCTTCCTGGAAGGTAAAGGGCAGCTGGCATGTAAGGTTGACAACCTTACCGCCATCTATGATCTGATTGTCTAGAGCAAATGTTCGAGCCTCAACATCTCACAACACTATGGGCCTTCATGGCCTGTTACAGGGATAGCTTTTACCTTTTACCTCTGTCACCTCTGCAATGGAACATTCTGTTTATTAAACCTCCTCACTACTGCATTTGTTACTAGAGACTGAGAAAGTAAGGTCACCTCCACTAAATCTCAAAGAAAGGTGTAAAAATGTACAGTGTGAACTTAACAAGCACATTCATCAGAAGGAATTACAATTAAGACTTATACTAAACCAACAGAAAATTACACGAAAGTATTCAATGCTAGGTGATGACACACAAACTGGTAAGAAGAAAAATTTATTTGGGCCTACTGAATTAATACACAATTAGTCTTAAGGCTTCAATGTTTGCAGTCACTGCACACCCTAAACTGTTATGTATATACATAAACAACTGTTTAGCATGTGCTTCAAAGTCAACAAGAAAATACAACAGCTCCTGCACAAAAAATTATTCACCATTGCTAAAATAACATGAAGCTGAAACACATAAGAACAGAACTGTTACACACAAGCACTGATGCACAACTGATGCACACAAGCATCACAACACACAGACAAGCAACATCAACTACCTACAGACAACACACGTCAGCAACACCCCGAAGCAAAAAGATTGGGCCAAGCGGGAAAGAATTCTAGGAATTTTAAGAATTCTTACTTCAAATAATGAAACATAATTTTACAGAAGTAACGACGAACAAATAAGAAAGCTACTGTGGTGTGTGAAAACTTTTAGTGAACCGATACTCTGGGTAATTTTAACTATTTGTAATTATTTTAATTAACTGGAACGTGGTTATCTTTGACAAAGTGAAGTTTTGTGTGTTGGTGATTTCTTTTTCTACTATAAATGCCTCTGATGATGGCTCCGTGGTGAGCCGAAACATGTAAGGCAGGTGGTGACGAGGTGGAAAACTTAAAAAAGTGTCACATTTGACGGAAGGAACTTGATTGTTANCCATTGCTAAAATAACATGAAGCTGAAACACATAAGAACAGAACTGTTACCAGTTCATTATCATACATTTGGAATGACAAATATATCTATCCCAACACTAAGTTTCAAGATCCAACATAAAAAAACAATAACAGAAATAAACACACTCTGATCAAACTAATAATGAATGTGAAGTCATCAGTCTAGTTCATGTACTACAGATGTTGCCAACAGATTACACAAACTTGCTCTATGTAAGTACATTTGCTTGGCACCACACATTTCATTCAGTTGATGTTATGATATTTACACTACATAAAATTACTAAATCCTACTAAAGGCAGTCAGTAATCATTTCACATCTGAGGATCACTAACTTAAAAGGATACGTAAGTGGTGATGTGTTTCCAATTATCCAATAGATGGAGAGATTAACAAAAAATGCTGTTATACATGAACTTGCTACCAAACCCTGAAATCACACAGAAGCAATGTATACATAGAATTAACAGACATAAGCCAACAACAAAATACAAGTGCACAATCATTGCACACAGCATAATAAATGTTTAGTCACATTCTGCCAGGAACATAAGAATGGTCTTTTAAGGATATGGTTCAACGGTCAGTATTACTGTTTTAATTAATACTATGCATATATGAGGATGTCTTCTGTATGTTTTAACTGTGTAATCTGACTACAAAAGATTTTTACCTAATTTTAAGTATGACTTGATGACACACATGCACATTCCCACCATGTGCACACACACACACTCACATTAATTTTATTTTATCATTTTTAAAGGAGTTATTTTTACTTAAAGCTCCAACAGAGATAATGTTGTAGCAGTGAAATACAGTACATCATGGGCAATTTAAGAACTGCTGCTGATATTAAATACAGTAGTCTCAATAATTTCACTCCTGCCTGTTCAAGGTTCCGTTAAGCAGTTGAAGCAAATAAGCCTTACATTCTTTTTCACATTAAATTAGCATGACACTTTTGATGTTCTATAATGTAAGTAATGGGGGCAAGTGGTAGCCTGATTGGTTGAGGCGTAATGCTACAAGACGAAAGGTTGCGGGTTAGATTCCCAATGAGGTCAGTGAACTTTTCAATTGACCTAATCCTTTCAGCCATACTATGGCCCTCGGGTTAGTTAGTTATTAGAGAGGGTGGGTTTCCCCATGCACTTAGACCTGTCTTGGTCCATTGTGCTTCCCTCTATGATATTCTACCAGTCTCTATATCCTACCGGTACTGGTGCTTACCATCAGTCCCGCCCAGCCAGCGAGATCGGTCTCTACTAGCTGAGTGGTATCTATAATGCTTCCCCCATCTACCAGAGGTATTAGAGACTACTGTTGGGTGGGAAACGTCCGTAATTTTGCTCAGTGGCCTCCTTTGGAGACATGAGGTTCTTTTACGTGCCGTAAAGCTACGACACGGGACCCACGGCTTAAAATCCCTCCCGGAGGACTTGTTCCCTGAATTTTTCCGCCCTTAAAAATTCGACGACCTCCGCTGCGTATTTGAACCCGTGTACTACGAGTCATGAGGTGGGAACGTTACCTCTAGAGACTACGGAGGCCGCTTGGCCCTCGGGTTAACTCAGCCTCTAATAGAAATGAGTACCAGGAATAGGTGGCCGGCCAGCATGTGAGGCTGACAACCTCACCGCTACCTGTGAGCCCCTTGTCTAGAAAACGTGGAAGCCTTGATATCTCACAACCTTATGCGAACCCATGGCCTGTTACAGAGATACTTTTTGACATTTTTTATAATGTAAGTAAATATTTAGCACACACACCATTATTCATAAAGTCACACACATTGTAAATTGCCTGTCTCTGGGAGAGAGGGTTATATTCTGTACTGGTTGAGTTTTTGGATAGTTCAAAGCAACACTGGCCCCCTTCAATTCAAAGTACTGAAATTCTACTGTATTTACACTAGTATGAATTACATGTTTCATACTAAATATTATTTCCAGATATACAGGTAAACACTGAATGTTGCTTATAAGAAGCAGGTTCTTGCACATACTATTCATATCCAAATTTGAAACTCTTCTTAACAAAGACAAATAAGGTAACGTAACATAGTGTAATTGCTATGCCAAAGGAAATCTGATAACATGACACTTCCAGTCACCCGATGTTAGCAAAAAAAAATAAATAAATAAAATAAAATACTTTACATTTTCAATTTTAAATTTTAAATTTAAAAAAAAATAAATTTTAAACTGGAATTCTAAAATTTACGAGCGTATGTTGTCGAGATTTTAAACAAAACTGACAGGCTAGTGTTTTAGATTTTGGATTGTGTGCAGTGTGAAGCTACGTAGTGAAAAATACGCCTGATGATGGCTAGTTACGGCTGAAACATGTAATGTAGAGGAAAAAAACACAAAGAACTACAACAAAATAAATTGTTGCATTCACGACGGCATTTGTATTATTACATATAAAAAAAGAGAAACTAAGGATGATAAACAGAGAATAGCCTATAAGTCACCTTAGTGAGATTATATTTCCACTTCAGAGAAAACCTACTTTGTTTACAACCTAGTATAAATCGAGGAAATACACCAATAACACAACAGCTGACTGAAACAAATGCTAGTGTAAGCACAGTATTACCACATTTTGGAAATAAAGATCTGGACACAAGTCAAAATAATTAGGGTTAAACACTTCACCAGCTTGGTAACGTGACTTTTACAACACCCAGTATACTAGGTAAAAGTAAAGCTGCCTGTATAGCCCAACACCACAGTGGCATGGAGGTACTTCCATTTTGTTTTCAACCCCAGCATCATGTGTACAGATACACTCCTACTGTTTTACTCATTTGAACTTCAATTATATTTCCCTGGGAGGTAACAGCAATCAGGCGGTGCAAGTAAGGGTGGTAATGACAGCTGCAGGGATGGTGGTGGTGACAACAACAGAACGTTATATCAGTCATTATCAATCCAAACATATGCTCATTATGTCTCTATCAAGTACCAGAACCATATTATGTTTGTATGTTGATCACTTACAACTACTGCAGCAGTCCAGTGTATTGCAATGGTGGTGGTCACTGGCTCAAAGACAGGTACTAAGAGAAGCAAAATTAAGGCCGATAATGGAGCCTGGTAGTACAGAAGCTGCATTGCATTCATTTGTAGCTCATGTTGTTTCTGGCTCACCAACTAAGAACAAAAGTAAAGAAAAATAACCTTAAGACTGTAAATCCGAATTCTTACCAACTTAATTGCGTGGAAGGTAATAAATATACAGTAGAACTTGGTTATAACATCATAAAAGGGACCTAAAAATAGTGTCGTTATAAACGAATGTCGTTGTAACCGAAATGGGCACTTCCACAGTAGCCTTATGTTAGTCACGTAAAAATCTACCAAAAACCGAGTTAAAATGTTGCATTTTTAGTGAAATACGTAGTTAAGTACAGACTAACGTAACATTAACGTGGAATTGCCCAAATGTGTAATATCAAAGACATATTACAGCGCTTTTCACTGACAATACACACCGTATTTCACGAATCACTTTAACTTTCTCTTCAATGCTTAAAACTTTCCTTTTCATTGCCATGTTTTCGCTACTGCACTTCTCTGGGTTTAGGCAGGAACACTATAGGGTAAGTAGACAATGTGNAACTTAAGGGCTACCGAGAAACTCAAGAACAGAATATGTTCAAATCCACACAGCAGGATTACTTCTTACTTAACAAACTCATGAGCACCTATATCATCCGGTCCATTTTTATATGGGCTTTACATGAAGTGAATTAAATTACTCTACAAATGAGGATTTGGCTCTGCATCCTCTAAAATAATTACAGCTGATGGACAAATAGCGTTGTGCCATTTTCTCTGCGATTTCAAATGGTAAAATGACTACTCATCATTTTCCTCAACTTGGTAAGCAAAGGGGAAGCAACTTACACAACAAGTAGGAGTAGTGGTAATACTCTGAAGACGCATTTGGGAGATGCCTGGATCAGAGCCCCACCAAAATATCAGCTATCCAGACTGAGCTTTTTCATGGATTTCCTCAGTCCTATCAGCAAATGTCATGATTATACCTTGATCAGGCCAAGACAGTATCTTTCATTATTATCCAACCATTTTTTGGTATATATTCCAGGATACTGACAGCAACACACACACAAATTAATAGATTCAGTTTTTAAGTCAGGGGACACCTGTAATAGAGGTAAAAACTAAAACACCATCAGAAAATGAAAACAAGCAAACCACATAAAATCCTGAAGAATGGAGTCTTCTGGGATTTGGCACCGTGTATATGTGGTGTTAACCGACGTTTCGGAGGAACGTATCGCCTCCATCTTCAGGGTAGAAGAAAAAAA